CCCCCCCCCCCCCCCCCCCCCGGGGGGGCCCCTCTGTTTAGTGCCTCCCCCCGCCCCCCCGGGGGGGAGGGGGGGGGGGGGGGGTCCGCTTGCCGGGTGACTCACATCGTTGCTATTTGCCCTTTGTTTCTAGGATGCTTCAGCTGCCGTTTTTTTCCCTTCTGCTTTTAATTTTGGGGGGAGAAAAACTAATGAATCAAGAATGAGTCGCCTCTATACTCATGTTTATTTTTTTTCTTAAAGTTGGCTCTGTTCACGAGTTTCGTAGGTACCCAAGAAGTGCGGGGGCAGGACAGGTGCGAACGCATTCATTACTCCTATCTGAAGTTGGCCGCCTAAGGTACGGCCTTTGTGGGGAGCCTTTCTGAGCTCCCTTAACAATCTGCTGGGCGTCTGCTACTGCCGCTGTACGTTTTCAGCTCATTTCTTTCTGCTGCAGTTTTGCGCTGCTGTCACGCCTAAAGCTAACTCGTCACTGCCAAAGGCGCCCGAATCAGGGTGAATTCCAAGAGATTCACCAGCGGTTGTGCTCCTGTCCAAGGTAAATACAGTATGCAAAATGAGGAACCACCAAATGATGCCAGGGAGGGGGGAGAGAAAGGGATTCCCTTGCCTTTTCTGGCACATTCCTCGTTGATTTCCACCAGGAGGAGGCGCGCAGCCCAGATCCCTCCAGTGTCCTTTCTTAAATCCCCCTACCTAGAGCTGTCGAGGTTGGCCGCGCGGCCGAAGTCCCTCCGGCAGGCCCGGCCCTCCCCCGCCCCCGGCTTGGTTTTTCCCAGCTGCGGAGGTCGGGCCAGGGGCTGGAGTGAGAAGAGAGTCGGCGCCCGTAGCGCGGAGCCGGGAAGTCGCCGAGACTCTGGTGGGACTCGGAGTTGGCTCCAGAGGCGGCGGGCGTGGAGGTGAGCGGTGGGGAGCAAGTGGCCCGGGCGAGAACCGGAGGCGGCGCCGGGGCCCCTCCCCACCGTCGGGCTGGGGAGTAGCGTAGGTTCAGGTGGCCACCCCGCCCAGGGTCCCACCGCCGCTTTGTTCCCCTTGGAGAGGACTTGAACCCCTCTGGGATCCCAGGGGCTGGCGGGGCGCGGGCTGGGGGCGACAGCTGTACGGCCCTCCACTTCCTGCTAATCCAGAAGCTACAAAAAGAGATGAAAAGACTTCTGTAACCTGAAACTTCCCGCGCGCCCTAACCTGGACAGGGACGAGAGGTCCGGGCGGGGGCGGAGACCGCGGGAGGCTTGGCGTCCGCAGAGGCGGCGGAGGAAGGAGCGGGGCGAGTGAGAAGTTTGGTCGGGAAGGCGCTGGGGATTAAGCGAGAAGTTAGACGCGGGAGACGAGTGTGGGGAAGGCGGCGAGCGGGAGGCTGGCAGCGTGTATGTAGTGTGGGCCGGGGAAGAAGGAAGACTTGGCGCTCCGGGTGCGCGTCCCTCTCCCGGGTAAAGATGTGCGGTGGGGCTGGGGGAGGCGATGCCCAAGCAGGCTTTTGGAGGCAGGTCTTGGGGACACAGTGGAGACGACTTGGCTCGGAGAGGCCGGTGTGTGCACTCGGGCAGCCGCGGCCACTGCCGCTCCTCACGCTTCTCTCCCGCTTGTCCCAGGTCACGCCGCAGATCCAGCGAGGGGCGCCAACAAAAGAGGCCAGGAGGTGCCACCCGGGGCGGCAGCAGGAAGAAGAGCGGGAGGAGGAGCGCGGAGCCGAGCGTCCCGACCCGTCGTGCGTACTTTCTGGAGGGAAGGGGCGGGGGAATCGTCCCCGGGAGGGGGACGCCCGGTGGCGCGGGGTGAGCCCAGTTCCGGCCGCGGCGTCCCTCCTCCGCTCCCACGAGAGGAAAGTTTTCTCCAGACGCTTCCGGCCAGCCCGTGCCCTCCGGGCCCAGCCTCTGAGCCTTCGGAGCGGGCGCCGTCCCAGCCCAGCTCCGGGGAGACGCGAGCCGCGATGCCTGGGGGGTGCTCCCGGGGCCCCGCCGCCGGGGACGGGCGGCTGCTGCTGGCGCGGCTGGCGCTGGTCCTCCTGGGCTGGGTCTCCTCGTCCTCTCCCACCTCCTCGGCGTCCTCCTCCACCTCTTCGGCGTCGTTCCCGGCCTCCGCCGCGTCCGCCCGGCCCCCGCTGCCGGACCAATGCCCTCCGCCGTGCGAATGCTCCGAGGCGGCACGCACCGTCAAGTGCGTGAACCGCAACCTGACCGAGGTGCCCGCTGACCTGCCCCCATACGTGCGCAACCTCTTCCTCACCGGCAACCAGCTGGCTGTGCTCCCCGCCGGTGCCTTCGCCCGCTGGCCGCCGCTGGCCGAGCTGGCCGCGCTGAACCTCAGCGGCAGCCTCCTGGAGGAGGTGCGCGCCGGCGCCTTCGAGCACCTGCCCAGCCTGCGCCAGCTCGACCTCAGCCACAACCCGCTGGCCGACCTCAACCCCTTCGCATTCTCGGGCAGCAATGCCAGTGTCTCGGCCCCCAGCCCCTTGGTAGAACTGATCCTGAACCACATCGTGCCCTCTGCGGAGGAGCGGCAGAACCGGAGCTTCGAGGGCATGGTGGCGGCAGCCTTGCGGGCGGGCCACGCGCTGCAGGGACTCCGCCGCCTGGAGCTGTCCAGCAACCACTTCCTTTACCTGCCTGGCGATGTGCTGGCCCAACTGCCCGGACTCAGACACCTGGACTTGAGTAACAACTCCCTGGTGAGCCTGACCTACCTGTCCTTCCGCAACCTGACACACCTAGAAAGCCTCCACTTGGAGGACAATGCCCTCAAGGTCCTTCACAACGGCACCCTGGCTGAGCTGCAAGGCCTGCCCCATGTCAGGGTCTTCCTGGACAACAATCCCTGGGTCTGCGACTGCCACATGGCGGACATGGTAGCCTGGCTCAAAGAGACAGAGGTAGTACAGGGCAAAGCTAGGCTCACCTGTGCATTCCCGCAGAAAATGAGGCATCGTGTCCTCTTGGAACTCAACAGCTCCGACCTGGACTGTGACCCTATCCTCCCTCCATCCCTGCAGACTTCTTATGTCTTCCTGGGTATTGTTTTAGCCCTGATAGGCGCTATTTTCCTCCTGGTTTTGTATTTGAACCGCAAGGGGATAAAAAAGTGGATGCATAACATCAGAGATGCCTGCAGGGATCACATGGAAGGGTATCATTACAGATATGAAATCAATGCGGACCCCAGGTTAACAAACCTCAGTTCTAATTCGGATGTCTGAGAAACATTAGAGGACACAAGAAGGACAGCTCTGCATGAGGTGTAGACTTAAGCTTTACCCGTCCTAGGCTTGCTCCATTTCCACTCTCCACTCTAGACATCACTGATTTTGAGAGCTGTGAAGGGGATTTGCATCCTTGTTATGTAAAGTTTCTTGGTATGTTCTATTAATGTTAGACAATGAACAACTGTGCGTAGTGTTTTACCCTCTTCCTTTTCTTGGAACTCCTCAACACGTGTGGAGGGATTTTTCAAGTTTCAGCATGAACATGGACTCCTTGCAGTCTGTTTCTCTTAGTACATTCAAGGTGTAGCAAGTGTACCCACACAGATAGCATTCAACAAAAGCTGCCTCAACTTTTTTGAGAAAAGTACTTTATTAATAAATATCAGTTTTATTCTTATGTACCTAAATTGTGGAGAAAATAATTGCATCCCATAAACTGCCTGCAGATCTTAGCAAGCTCTTCGAAATAACTCCATAGTACAAAGGAGCATCTGCATCCAAGAGCATGCTTACATTTTACTGTTCTGCATATTACAAAAAAATAACTTGCAACTTCAGATAACTTCTTTGACAAAGTAAATGACTTTTTTGATTGCAGTTTATATGAAACTGAAGTTTTTTTTATAAGCTGCATCAAGATCCAACAGACTGAATTGTTAAAAAAAAATCAATAAAGATCCTTAAAAGAATTACAGTGTGTTCAAGTTTACTATTTGAAAAAAGGATTAGGGGCAATGATACTGAATGGTCTTGGTTCAGATGGTAATTAAGTTATTAGTTAACGTAGCTGAAAATCAAACTGGAGCAATGCCTTATACAAATAGACTTTGGAGATAGTTTTGAAATGGTTGATCCTTTCGAGATTTAAATAGAGAGTTTGAATATTCATGTGGCTAGACTTCACACAGAAGTTAATGCTATTCATGAAACAATTTCATAAGAGCGTTGTAAAGTTGGTAAGAATGGACAGTTCTGTACAATAAGAAGTCCACAGTTTGGGGCTTTTTCTAGACTAATGAAGTTGTAAAGACAGAATAATATTACTTACTTAGTAAAACTCTCCATATGAGACTGGTCTATGAATTTTTAGAGCAGTGTGAAACAAATATAATGCAAATAAATGTATGAATATGAAGTGTCTTAAAGACATAGAATATTCTGAAATAAAAGATTTAACAACATAAATTTTTAAAGTATTTCCTAACATTATAATGTAAGTTGTAACTTAGATTTTCTTGATAATATTTTTAAAAACCATTTAAAGTGGAACAAAAAGTGTTCAATATTTAATCAGAGACCCAGCTAATATGTTTAAATAATTGACATGATTGAATATGAACTTGAGAAAATAACCAGAGATAAATGTCTATGTCCGTAAACAAGTGTCTCAACTAATCAGCTTATGTTCAGTTCCATATTTAAGAATTTGAGGATATTTTGATTTTATAAAGCTCTATGTAAATATATACTTCTTTGTGAAGAATAAGTCACATTTAGGTATAAGTAAAAGCAGTTGCTAATCAATTGATACTATCAATAAGAGACAATTTTTTTTTGAGTTTTTAATATGTTGTTTAATCTGAAAAGTAAAGCCCATTAATCAACATTTAAGGTATTATATCAAGTGATTTAAATTTAGCTATTATTGCTTAAATTAAAGTACTAGATAAACTTAGATAATTAAATCTTAGGGCCTGTTTTCCCTTTAAATTGGCTATATTCTGCAATACTTTATGTTTGAAATAGAGTACATTTCAAATAAACTACATTTTCATATTTTTATGAATAAAATAAGGTTAGATAGTACTTAAGGTTCTAGAAATCTTTGCTGATTCCTTCTTTGAATTAAATTCAGAAGTTTTCAAAATAGAGCTAAAAATATGTTAATCTATTCCTTGTTTAGATTAGATTAGTCAGAATATAAAGTTTTAATTTCTTAAGTTTTATAAGGCTCATTTTATGAAGTACTATAGTATCTGTTATTTATGGGTTATATTTCAGATTCTATAATTACCTGAAAAATGGATAAGTATATGATACTTAATATTCCATTAAACTTTTTAAGTGTTCACCAGGAACTCAGAAACTGGCTGGCTTCCATCATTTCCTAAGAATGATGAAGATGCTAGCTTGCCAAAAACAGTGAAAACATCTAATAAATAGTGGCACACTATCTTAGTAAACTGCTGATGGACTTTGGTAAGTATGCTGATTGTAGAAAAAAAAATTATAATATTGATAGAACCTCTATTCAGAATAATTGTTTCTTCATCATGTGATAATCTAAGAGTTAAAAATTGAGCTTTACCTAAGATGCAGGAAAGCAATAGATTAATTAGTCTAGCCTTTCTCATCAACTCCCTGAAGCAATGATCAATCTATGATAAAGTGGAGCAGAGTTTTTGCCTGTTAGGTAGATGGCTTTTTTAAAGTTATAATTTCTTGCTGCTTTTTCATCCCCCTGCTTCTTTGTTTGTATGAACTTCCCAATTTGCCACTGCTTTGTTTTCTATCACATCCCTCTTTCTATGAATTCTCCAAAATATGGCAACAGAAAATTCTTAAAGTAAAAAATAGTTATTGCTTGACAACTCACTGATATTGTGCAGTCACAAGACATTCTAAGTTCCTTGAAAGATAGATGCTATAGAAATACAATAAGTATAAGAGAATATAGAAAAAATGAAATGAAAATAAAAGTATTATTACTTTATTTAAAAATGAAACATACCTACTTGTTTTAAACACTATTCTCGGGCCGGCCTGGTGGCGCACTGGAGAGTGCGCCGCTTGGGAGCGCGGTGGCGCTCCTGCCGAGGGTTCGGATCCCATGTGGAGACCGGTTCCCCCTCACTGGCTGAGCACAGTGCGAGCGCAACACCGAGGGTTGTAATCCCGTTGCTGGTCCCCGGTACGGGCGTGACGCCGAGGGTTGTGATCCCGTCACCGGTCAGTAAAAAAAAGACAAAAAGGAAAAAAAAAAACCCACTATTCTCTAGAACCATTATGCATTACTGGTCCTGGAAACCTATATGTAATCCATTTTAAAAATTTTATTTTGGTTGATAATTTTTATTACACTTTATTACTGAGCTTCAAGTGTTCAGCAGAAAATGTCCTTCATTACAAGTTTCATTTGAAGAAAGTTAGAAAAATACTTTAAAAAATTCAAGTACTTGATAAATCCCTTATATTAAAAAGCCATTAAAATATTCTATACATTTCTATTTAAAGTAGCAAAGACTTTAGGATAATACGGCTACTTGACCCTCAGTTGTCACTCCCCCCTTTCATTGTAACCATTCAGTTTGCAGCATTACTGTTTGTAATATTAGTTTTGCTGCCACAAGTGTGATTTTGTGGTGACCAATAAGGCAAATTTGTACAGCAACTGATAGATTTTTCTTCCAAATAAAGGAGACTTTGAAGCACATTTAATAGACTTTAAATGAAAAGGACACCCTTGCAGGGGTAGGGGAAAAGGCTGGGTTGAAATAAGTGAGCAAATGACAAGTAGTAAATCCTTTTAAAATATCTTGATTGACAAAACGTGGATTATGCTCATCTCAATATTTAATTAGAAATAACATATCTTTGCTTTGTCTTTTTAATTAAAATGGCTGTAAAAAAAATCCAAATGAACTGTGATGGTTTCCTTAGGAGTCCTGTTTTACTCTGTCCCTTTTGGCCTGATATTCTAACACAGGCTTCACCTTGTTTATGATATCAGAAGCCTTGCAACTCTAGTTTGCCAGTCTTTCACATAATTTCTGCTTTCCATTTTAATTTTTCTCCAAAGACTACACTGAAAGAGGCACCATCAAGATTTGCAAGGTCAAAAACAATTTGGCACGTGCTTTCCTCCTACACCCAAATCCATTCAGTCATCCAGCCTTCAGAGCAGTACCATAAAGTGAAGACAGACATTTATTAGATGAAAATCACGTTTCGTTTTTACACTTGTGCAAGGATTTTTAACAGTAAAGGAGTGGAAAGGGAGGGAATTATATTTCTAGATAGTATATGAAAAATACCTTGGCAATGTCTTTTAAAATTTTTTTAGCAATACTGCAGTGCTGCACTATAAATACTTAGTTTAAGAAAATATATTTTGCCTTGTCCAGGCGATCCTGTCTCCTTTTAGATGGGAGAAAACAGCTACTTCAGGATGTTTTGTACAGTTATTTTTCCATTTTTACTCTTAAGAAAGACTTTTGATTCAAAAGGGCAGGCTTATTTTATTTTGTTTTATCTTAAAACACTTCAGCAGCTCTATCTTTGTCATGGGTTAAAAAAAGATCTAGATTTAAAAAAAAAATGTTTAACATACGATTTATATAATTTTGACAAGAATAAGACTTTTTAGTACTTCAAAATTGGAAGGCCTCCTAGGCATGTCAAGCTCCTTTTCCCATTCTACAAATGAAGAAAGTATAATTGTGACTTATTATATTATGTAATGAGAGCCAGGACAAGATCCCAGGGTCCTAGACTCCTTTTCTAGTGCTCTTTTTGCCAGATGATGGTATTACTAATTGCCTAACTTGACGCCTTTGAAATTCCCATGTGTAAAAAAAGGCAATTGCTTTAGTAAATTTGTTTTATTGTTTTTGCTTTGACTTAATGTTTCAGTTTGCTCTAGATTTCACTTCCAATTTGTTAAAAATTACTGTTTCAGACCCCTGAATATTCTTAAATGTTTTGAAATATTTTTTTCATAGCAATCTTATTACCATATACCTTATCTGACACTGTGACATAATAGGAAATATTATGGAAATTTAACGGTGATATGAGGATACTTCAAAGAGTTCATGGAAAGATTCATATTATCTTTTAATTCCATTTTTCCACAAACTTTTTGAAGTACTAGTAGCTAAGTCTGTAATCCAGTTGAGTGAGACAGAGAGAGAGAGAGAGAGAGTGTGTGTGTGTGTGTGTGTGTGTGTGTGTGTTTACTGGGTGGGGAGAGGCAGTGTGAGGTGTGGAAGAACATTTGAAAAATCAATTTAGCTAGTTAGGAAGCAGTTTTGAAGACAAACCTATGTATTTTCCTCAATTCTACTCCTTTTGTGGGGGGCAGTGATATGTGTGGGTATATTTAGAATAAATTTAGATTCCATTAGTGGTTTAATTGTGCCAATCTTGTTAATTTGTTTTAAAATTTCAGTGAGGCCCCATGAACCATTTATTCAGTTCTTTCAGTACATATTTACTAAATGTTTTCTGTGTATCAGGCACTATTGTTGCAATCGATTTTTAAAAATAAGCTTATGACAGAAAATTTATTTTGATCTAATAATGACAATAAGTAATGGTAATAACTAACATTTTATTGAGTTCTTACTATGAGCCAGACAGTAGGCAAAGGCCTTCACATATAAGGTCTTACTTCTTCTCATTTGAAGAGGATATTGAGGCTTAGAGAGGATAGATGACTTGCCCAAGAACAACTAGGTAGTAAAAATCAGATATGAGATTTGAACTGTTTTTTTTTTTTTTTTGTGGGGGCTGGGTGTTATCTCCAGAACCCATACTTTCAACCCCTGAGTTTAGGAGATGAGAATGACCTTGTTACAAGACAACATAAAAAGCACTACCAGAGATTGGAACAGTGTGATACAGGATTCAAAGCAGAGAGAGATCTTGTCTGGTTGGGAGAATCCAAAAAGGGTTCATGGAGGAGTTA